TCCTCACTCTTCTCTAGTCCCACTGGCCTTCTGGATCTTCCTTGAACACACCAACCTTGTTCCCACCTCAGCGCCTTTGCACTTGCTGTACTCTCTGCCTGGAATGCTCTTCCTACCAGATATCTGCATGGCTTACACTCCCACTGCATTCCGTTCTCTGCTTAAATGTCATCCCCTAAGATAGGCCACCTAAACTACAGAAAATACCCCCTTTCCCGCTGTCATTCTCCCTATCCCCATACCCTACTTTGTTCCTCTTCATAGATCATGACCTGACAGTATATTATCTTGTGATATATTATTCTATCGTGTATTACAACAATCATATTGAACTATATAACAGAATGGTATATTGCCCATCTCCCAGGTTAGAATGAAACTCCCAAGAGTTGGTCTTATTCATCGAGTCCTTGGCACCCAGGATAGTGTCTGCACACAGTCAGTGCTCACTCGGTATTTGTTGAATAAACACATGAATAATGGACTTGGGGGTGGGCCATTCGGAAGGGTAAGGGAGCAGTGAGAGGATGGGTTCAGGGGGCTCTGAGGGACAAGTGGACCACCCTGGAGGGCAGAGGAGCAGCACAGGATGAGCTTGGGCAGGAGGTAGGGCTGTGACCTGAGGCCTTGAATGCCAAGATAAAGGCTACACCCAGAGGCCTGGAGCCTGAGAGCTGGCAGTGACCCTGAATGTCAAGCAAGCCCTGCACCTAACACTCAGGTAAACTGAGCCCAGGACAGGGAGCCTCAGCTTCAGTTCACCTGAGGGCATCTCAGCGATGGGGTAACCTTTAAGAGGTTCTGTCCCTCTTTCCCCAGGCCCCCATCAGGGTGCCCTCCCTCCCTGAGAGGAGTACCTCACTTCTGGACGAGTCTTTTGGAGGCCCCAACGACATCATCTACGCAGACCTGAGGAAGAGGAACCAGGCACGGCTAGGTCTGGGCACAGACGTGTCCGGCAGGCATGGGCCAGTTCCAGCTGGCAGCCAGGCCTGCTCCCCAGGCAAGGAGGCCCCAAAGAGACTCTCAGACGAAAGCCAGAACAGGCCTGACGGCCTAGGGTTTGCCTTCTCTGAGGTGAGCCCAGACCAGGGCCGTACAGTGTCTCCCACTTCCTGGGGCATCCTGCTCCCCAGTTCTGAGGCCCTGGGATCCTCAGCTGCTATCTGGAGCCAGGAGTCACCGAAGCTGAGCCACAGGGCTCAGCTCTACTCCCAAGGCAGTTCTGCAGACAGCTATGAGCTCATCCAGACAGCAGGCCTCCCGCAGGAGGCTAGGGGTGCACCAGATCAAGAAGAAGGCAGTACGTATGAGCAGATCCCAGTCGGCTGGGGTGGCCCACCCAGGCCCCGGTATCCTGGGGCCAGTCCCACATATAGCAAGCTGTCAGGACCCACAGACTGTGGCCATGAGAGGATCTCGGGGGCCCCGGAGCTCCCTGAGCCCAGGAACACCTATGAACAAATTCCAGCAGTCAAGAGCAAGGAGACTGGACGGACACACAAGGTGGGCTCCCTGGGCAGGGTGGGGTGGGGTGGCTGCCAGCCCTTAGAGAGCACCTGGGGCAGGAGGGACCTGTGGCCCTCAGGCATGGGCAGATCAGGTCACTGCCACTGCCCAGAGGTGCCCAGAACTTTCCAGCCCTAACATCTGCTTGGAGGTAGTGGGAGAGGCAGTTGTTAGGTTTGGATGTAAGATGGGGGCTTCCAGGCCCTTCTGAGGTCTTTCTCCGCAGACCAGGGATCCCTGCCCCTCTCCCTTGGCCACTGCTGGGGCCTCTGAGGGGTGGAGAAGGGGCCCTAGCACCAGGTCTGACTTGCCTTGGCCCTTGTCACAGCTCAGCCACTCCCTAGCCATGAGCTGTGGGTAAGACAGACATCCAGTTAATTTGAATTTCAGATAAATGAGCAATTTTTTTTAGCACAAGTATGTCCTAAATACTGCAATTATTCCTTGTTTATCTAAAATTCAAATTTAACTGGGCATTGTGTATTCTTATGTAGCAAGCCTACCCAGGACCTCCATTTCCTCATCTGTAAAATGGGCTGGTCCTCTGGCTGTGTCCAGGGGTGGCTGCTAAGAGGATAATGCTGGACATCTCATGTACTCAGGACAGAGTCCAGAGGTGGGTCTTGGGAACAGAGCTATTATTCCTGAGGATTTCTGATAAGAAAGGACGAAGAGGGAAGCAGGGATCAGGAAGGCAGAGGGAGGTGGTCAGGGGTTCCCAGGGAGGCAGAGAAACCCTTTTGAGGGTTTGCGATGAGCCGGGAGAGTCCACTCCCTGTGGGGACGGCCTCAGCTCTGGGGCATGTGCAGACCTCCTCTCCCGGCCTCAACAGCGAAACCTTGAGCTCCCAGCTGAAAGGCCTTCACAGGAAGCTCTGTCATCTCCCCCCTCGGGGCAAGGCTGTGCCCACACTCCCTGGGACAGGGAGCTCACCCCACCCTGTGCAAGGCAGCCTCCAAGGTCCTGACTCTCCTGGGACCACAGATCCTGCCTGCAGACAGTCCTAAGAACCACAGAAGCCACAACCTGCTCTTCTCCTGGCTGCAAAGTCCCACATCCTCTCTGGCCCCTGGTGGCACCATGCACAACCCCACCCACCTTCTACCTAGGATACCAGCTAGGACAGAGAGCGCTGGGGGTTAGGGAACCCCAGGGCACTCCAGGGGGGCACATGGGCTTGGCCTTTCTTCTCCACCCCCTTTCCAGACCCCTTCCTCCCTTTAGCCTCCTTAACCAGAAGAGGGCAAATCGTTGATCCATCCTGGAGGCTGGAGGTGGAATTTCCAGCACCGTGAGAGGCTTGTGGAGCAACCATCAATATTCCAACCTGGCCTTTTTCTGGGCTTGGACCCCAGCCCCCAGTCAATGCTGATGGACCCTCTGAGCCTGGGGCTCCCCTTCCCTGTCCGGGGACCGCAGGCTCCAGCATGTTCTCCCTCCTTGTAGCCTGACAAGCTCCGGAGGCTCTTCTTCACGGACAAGAAGCACAAATCCTGAGGAGGGCCCGGCTTCCAGCAGTCCACCAGTGGGTTTCCTGGGACCCCAGCTATACCACCTGAAGGTACCCCTGGGACCCTCAGATCCAACCAGCCTACTGTGGAACGAGGCTTAGAGACACAGCCTAGGTGCCTGCCTGGAGACGGGGTGGGAGGAGACCTTCCAGCTGCCTGCAGCTCCGGGATGTGCTCTGCTTCCCCAGTGCCTCCCACCCATCCAGAGGAGGAAATTAACACCCAAGAGGAGCGAGGATTGGCCAAAGGCAGGGGTCAGCACCCCCGTTTCCAAGATGAGCCTGCCTCCCCCCACTAAACACTTACTGAGCCTGTGGCAGGCCCTGTGCTAGGGCAGGCCTTTTCCTAACTGGCTGAGTGACATCATGCAGTTGCTCTTGAGCAAACCAGTTCCCCTCCTGATGGCCCTATCAGCAGAAAGAGAGGGCCAGGAGCTACATCCCTGCTCCTGCCCCATGGGGTTGCGGCAAGAAGCCAGGGAAGTGGCAGCAAAGCCCTCGCCTCAGAAGTGATGGTTCCGGCCCTGGGGTGGCCGGGCTCCCAGGGCCAAGCCCCACAGCCCCTCTCTGCCCCCTGCCTTCATCCCAGCCTCACCATGCAAGCCAGGCAGACTCTAGTCCGACCCCTTTGTGCTGCAGATGGGGAAACTGAGGCCCAGAGAAGAGCAGCAACCTGCTTGAGGTTATATAGTCAGAGCCTGTGCAGACGTCCCTTGAGGCAAGCCCAAGCCTGGCTGGCTGCCTGGGGTCAGCCTGGGTGGTTTCTGGAACCACCCAGTGGCCACTTGCTGGTCGTCTTTATATGACCAGGTCACTCTCATCTGCCCTCTGCCTCCAGCCAGTGTTGGCCTTTAGGGGTGGCATTCAGACCCTCTCATGAGACCCAGACCCAACCCGGTGGCCCCACCCTTGCCCAGGCACCAGCTCTGGACGTGGGCACTCAGAGGCTACTCACTACAGCCATTCCCTCAGGTCAGGCTGGCTCTTCCTGGATCCCCTTCCCTCAGGATCCACTTCCCCCCTTACCCATGTGTCCCTACCTCCATAAGGGTGAGCAATTGGCCTGCTGCTCACTGCTCTCTGCCCACTGTCTCCAGGAGTGGGAGGTGGGAAACAGAACTGACCATCCCCAGACAGAACATCACAGGTGTCCCCTCCTCCCTGCCCACGTCCCTGGGCAGAGTTGGCTCAGTTCACACTGGTGGGGAAAATCTACCCTTAGTGGCATCTCTGCTACACTGCTTCTCCCTCTGACAAATGGGGCTGTAAGAGTCCCTACCTCCCAGGGGGGTTATGATTAGCAGTGGGCCTGACCCACGGTCAGCACTCCACAAATGTTCACCAGGATTTCTATTGTTATGAGGGAAACGGAAACAATTCTCACCCAACGTCTGTCCTGCATGGGGCTCAGTTGAAGATTTGGGTCAGATGTGTCTTCCTCCCAAAGACACAAGCACTGATATAAAAGTTAGTGCCTAAAACAGGAAGGCAGTGCTCAACCCAGAGAGGATTTCAAGGACCCAGAGAAAACGGACCGTTGAACTTTCCTAACATTGGCAGACACAGAGAGCGTGGGGACATGAAAGTGTTTTACTACCAGGAGTTTACAAATCTGTGGACATCCACACCAGTGAGGATTCCACATCATTGGGGAGGGTGGATGGGGCGGTGCTCAGGAACCAGACAGAGACAGGGACAGAGCCCTTGGACCCACTGTTTATACAGCTTCATATTGGGAAGGGGGAGGGGAGGACAGGTGGAGGCGGGGGGTGCAGCCCAGCTGTGGGTTTTGGAGAGAGATTGCATAGCTTGTTAAAACCTTGTCCTCTTTTTTATTCACTTTGCCCTGGGTGATTGGGGTGTCTGCCCAGCACTTGGACAAGTCAGTACCCCCTGCCCTGTTAGGTGTTCTGCCTTCCCCTCTCAGTGGGGCCTTTTCTGATGGGCAGAGGACTGGGGTGTGGGGGAGGTGGGGGAGGGCCTGTGGCAGGACCATGGGTCCTGGGCAGACCACAGGGGGCCTGGGAAGGGCCCTGCTCCTCATATCCCCCTTCCCTGGTTAAGGATTTTTTTGCTGAAAGGGCCAAGGAAATGTTCGTGGGTGTAAACCCCAGAGGCCACAGCTCCTTTCCCGCGGAGCTTGGAGGTCACACTTGTGTAGAGAGCAGAGCTGGACTGGTGGGCTTCTGGGCCCCTGCGACCTGCACTGTCCTCAGATCCGGATGTGGAAAGTACTGGAAGAGAGAGAGAGAGTAAGAGAGGGTGAGGGGCTCTGGGCGGGTGGGTAAAGTTCCTCAGCAAAGAGCTAAGCAGGCCCCATGCCCAACCCCAGACAGTTTGTTCGGGAGGATACAGAGGATGCAATTAATCAATACTGAGGATAGGAAGGACAGCCGTCCCCAGGGATTCTAGCCGCCCAGCATAACCAAAGGGCCCCCCATCTTTATTCTTCACCAGAGAGCCTGGCCCTGCAGGGGACAGGGGACTTCCCAGTCACATATTGAGTGGAGCTGGGCCTGGAGTGTGACCTCCTGCCTCCTGGCCCACACAGGGCCTGCAGGATACCACTACTCAGCACCCACCGGGGTCCCAGGAGGCCAGGCTGCCTGGCTGTGGCCCCTGCATTCAGCCTGCCCTGCCCAAGCCAGCCCCTTGGGCACCTGAGGAAGTCAGGGGCCTTGGCGATCATGTCCTCAAAGTCGGCAAAGCCCAGCTTGCCATCGCCGTCCAGATCGGCCTCCTCGATGACCTTATCACACACGAGTACCACCTCGTCCTCGTCTAGCTCCGACTTGGTGAGCCGGGCCAGCGTCAGCTCCAGATCCTCCTTGCAGATAAAGTTGTCGGTGTTGAAGTCTGAGGGGCGAGGGGCAGAGACACTCAGGCCAGGCTGGCTCCCACCCGGCGTCACTTCTCCTCTGGGCTGGTCACACCAGACACCTCCACCAGCCTCTCCATGCACACTCTGGGGACACTAGATCCTTGTCCCCAGCCAACAGGGACCACAGGGGCTCACCCACAAGGCACATCTTAAATACCACATTCAACAAACCCACATACACAGCCCCCCCCACACCCCCACAGTGACTACATGCACAACCTTGGCCTGAGACACTTCAAAAGTCCAAATCTGAGGCTTCTTTGGAACTTCCGGCCCAGGCCAAATGGCGGTCCTGGCCTCACCCCGCAGTGGACCCTGTGTTCCCTCTAGAGCTAAGGAAACCAAGGCCCAGAAGGGCCAAGTGACTCAGTCAAGGTCAGAGGGCTGCTCAGAGGTGGAGCCGGGATTCTGACAGTGGCTACAACTGCATTTTCTACACAGCACCACGGTGCCTCTGGCAGGCCCCAAGCCAGACACGTCAGGTCAGGAGACTCATAAGCCCCGTAGAGAGAGGCCTCGTGGCTGGCCTTTGTGCACGCAGAGCAGGGAACATGGTTTGATTCTAGTTGGCACAAGGCACTACCACTGCCCCACAGCACAGCAAAGCGCTCAGAGCACTGAGCCCCACACAGCCCGTCAGTGAACTCTACACCCTTCTGACCATTTTTCAACCCAACTATCAGATCTTTGCACATGATATTTCTTCTGCTGGAGGGCCTATTTATCCTTAAAGTTTGGGCTCAAACACCACCTCTAGTCCTTCTAGACAGAGGGGCTCCCTGCACTGAGCTCCCCAGCCCACTGACCAGACCCTGATACTAACAGCAGCAGTCATGAAGAGCATAACTGTTAATGTGAGCGGTGCATGCTCTGTTGCATTTAATTTTCAAAACAAGTCTATTCAGTAGGTACAATTAGAACACCCACTATACAGATGAAGAACTAGGGGCTTAGAAAGGACAAGAGGTCACACCCCTAGTCAGTGTTGGATCCCAAGCCCAGGTCCCCTACACTGCCCGTCTCCACACTGGCCTATGAATGCCCCGGGCAGACACGAGGCAAGAGTCATCTCTGCCCTCGCAGTGGTGCCTGGTATGCTCTCTGGAAAGATTTGCTGGCTGACTAGCTGGCTGGCTGGATTCCTGTAGGGGTGGCAAAATGGGGATTCCTGTGCCCATTTTATATGAGGACACTGAGGCCCAGGAACGGGGTGATCCTTGTTAAAGGTCAGACCTCAAGTCTCCCCAGGAGCTCAGCTGCCTGTCCCCACTCCACCCCCCAAGCCCAGGGCAGTAAGGGAGCCTTGGTTCTCCCTTCACATGTCCCCACGCCATGCACTGTGCTCCCCCATCTCTGCAGACAAGGGCCCTTCCCAGGAGCAATGCCATAGGGTCCAAGACTAGAGGGATGATAGGTTGAATTCAAGAAGTTTTTTATGTGAACCACACGGGCATGGTTTGTGGAGGACAGACAATGCGGGTTCTGTGTTTCTGACATGCAAACACAATGTGAATGCACAGATGTATATAGACCAAAGTCCTCTGAAATAAACATGACAACTACAAAATGAAAAAACAGCTCCTGATAGGCCCGTTGCCTTGGGATCCACTGGTTGAGCAAAGGTGGGGACAGGAGGTTTGTCTGTGGCTCTTCTGGTTCAGGACAGGTCTCAGCTCCTCCCTGGGCCTCAGTGTCTCCATGTGAGGACTGTCTGAGGATGTGACACCAGTCCCGAGGCCAACACAGCGGGTGAGCTCTGTGGTGTGAAGGTTTCTCCCAGTGCTGTAGAACCACAGGCTATGGGCTTCATGGGTGACCGGTGCCCTCTGGCGGCCGCTGGGACAGCAGGACCAAGGGCGGGGCTGGGAAGAAATGAGGGGGCCCCACCTCTGGCAGCATGGGGGGCCTCTGGGAGCCTCCTCACCTGGCAGAGGCCTCCTTTCCAGCTCCTGGCTTCAGTCTAGCTCCTCCAGTTCACACCTCCAGGGTGCCGAGTGATCCTTCTAGAACATAGAGCTGCCCTGCCCCACCTGAAACCCTGCAGTGGCCGTGGGGCCCTGGGCACCAGGCCTAAACTCCTTTGCTGGCTCCTCATGGCCCGGCCCCAGTGACCTCTCCAGACTCACACCACCCCTCGCCCCACCACATTCCTCTCCCCATCTCCTCATCAAACCCTGCACTTTCTTGCTTCCCTGAGACTTCACAGGCTGCTCCCTCTGCCAAGCATGCTCACCCCAATTTCTCCTATCAATAAACTCCTCCTGTCCTCCTGGCCCTGCGGAAGTGTCGCTGCCTGTGAATCCTCCTCACACTTACCACCCACCCTAGGTGTGGCGGGTCCCTCTCTCCTCTGCTCTCAGGACCCCACGGATGTCTCTCAGGCACTATTTGTCACCACTGGCCACTCTGCTGTGCAGGCACTTTTCAGTATTCTTGGTGTCCCCAGGGTGGAAGCCAGCACTGGATCGCCCAATAGATCTGAATGCAACCACCCACAGCACCACGGCCTCTCCCCCAACCCCTCGTTACCGTAGATCTTGAAGGCGTAGTTTGCCTTCAGTTCGCGGGGAGCCGACTCACAGAGCACAGAAAACATGTCCACAAAGTCATTGAAGGTGAGGTTTCCCTCTCCGTCCTCAGAAAAAGCCTCCACGATCCTTTCCTTGAAGGGATTCTCCTGGGAAAACAACCACAGCAATCACCGTGGGTGCAGGCGAACTGGACGGACTCCAGAGCCAGAGAGCTTACAGCCTAGGTGACCTTGGACAAGCAACCTAATCCCTCTGAGCCTCAGTTTCCCCATATGTAAAATGGGAATAATAATAGGACCTACTCAATTGGGTTGTGAGAGGACTGAATGTGTTGGTACGAGGCCTGGCACCTGTAAGAGCTCAGCGTTATGTTACGTCTTGTTCCATTGTTAAGATGAGCACAGAGAGCGTAGCAGAGCCCAGGTGTGCTCACTGGAAGCCTTACCTCACGTGAGGCAGGAGCAGGGATTAGTCCCATTGCCCAGAGGAGCACATGGAAGCTGCCTCCTGCCTTGATGTGCAAGACAGGACGACAGCCCCAGCATAGGCAGCCCTCAGGCCAGGAGAATGGGAGGCAGAAGTGGGGCCCCAAATGGTCGGATAACTGGACCAGGACGAGAGTCAGAGAGCCGGTCAGACCCCAGGCCAGCAATCACCCAGCTCCTATGAGTTCTCCTGGACCAGCCCAGAGGCTGCCTCCTCTGGGGAGCCATACCATCGACTCCTGATCCCAGATCACTCGGGCTCCCCTCTCCAGGAGTCCTCCACCCCAGCACTTGGCCACCTCCACTGTGTGCCCAGCCCAGGTGGCTCAGGGACAAACCACGTGGTTCCCACCCGAGTGCCTCCCACCCTCCAGTGACCCTCAGGCTGCTCTCAAGCTCCTCTCTAGGCGGGCTGGGCGCCTGGCCAGGGCTGAGCCAGCAGCTCACTGCCCCTCAGGACTGAGATCACAACCAAGACAGAGGCCCCAAGTGGAAGCCACACAGTACCGACCCCCGAGTCACACACCCAAGGCCTGGTGAGGGGCTATTTGCAAAGTACCGCAGCCATGTGGAGTGGTGCCCCAAATGCCAACTGCTTTCTCACGGCTGCAGTGCACTTGATGTGTACTGTGGATGAGGAATTCATGAAACCAAACTGTTATGTCAAATATATATGTGGTCTGAGGACCAGCAGCACCAGCCTCACCTGGAGTTTGTTAGGAAAACAGAATCCTGGGTCCCACCCCAGACCTACTGAACCTGAAGGGGCATTTTGACAAGATCCCTCAGTGATTCCTGTGCACCCTGAAGTCTGAGAAGGATGCTACGGATGGCCATGCTATGAGAGGCCATAGCCAGACAAGGCAGAGACAGAAAAATTATCTGAAAAAGCAGACTCAAGGTCAGCCGAGGACAGCAGACTGGCCATTTAACAAAGGGGCAAGTGGGTGAGCACAGGCCAACAGCCCTGCAGAGTGTAGGGCAGCACCCATCACTGCACTCTTAGGGGGAACCCCACACCCAGTGCATTTATTCAAAGTGCAGATAAGGAAACTGAGGCACAGAGAGGTTCAGTGATCTACTCAGGGCCACACAGTCACAAAGGGTGGGGCTTGGGGTCAACCCAGGTCTGGGTGCCTCTGCTGCCCTGCCCCATCCAGAGGGGCAGATTCCCCATCCCCCCAGCCCACCTGCCTGGCCTTCTCTAGATGCCTCTCCTGCTCTGCCCGACAGCAGTGGCCTCTCACGTACCCGGAGCTCTGGCATCTGGATGATGAGGCTCATGGGCACATGGACGATGGGGCTCTTCCTGTAGTCCATAGGGACGAGGTTGGGGGCCAGCTCATAGAACCGTGCATGGAGCCTGTGAGGGAAGCAGAAGAAAGTGCTGGGTGGTGGGGGTGCAACCCCTGAGCTCCCAGTGGCCCAATGCTGCCCTGCCTCCACCCCAGCCTCCCATGCTGGAGACCCACCTTGGTCCGGGGCCCAGTGAGGGACCAGGGGGAAGCCCTCCGCTCTGCCCACAGGGTGTGGGGTTTGGGAAGGAAGCATGTTCTGCCCAGACCCCTGTGCTGATAACCAGATTGTGTCCCGGCCCTGTTTCCACCACACACCCCACCCCCACCCCCACTCCCATGCCCAACCCCCATCCCACACCCCCATGGGCCTGCAACCAGATCTTTTTAATTTTTCCTCTTTCGGCTCTTGTAAGGTCTTCCACGTGCCAGTTATGTCACCTCGTTTAATTGTCCTTCCCATGACTCCGTCCCACAGTGCAGACAGGCACACTGTGACACCAGTTTACAGCTTGGCAAACTGAGGCCTGAAGAGGTTAAGAGTGATTGCGTCCAAGACCACACAACTAGGAAGTATCAGCAACCATGGCTGGAGCCCAGAATTGGAAATCCAGAGCAGAAACTCTAACCATCCCCCCACCCCATGCTGCTCCTGCCACTCCCCACTCTTGAAGCTGCTGAAGCGAAGGCCCAGTTGCTGCCCCCACCCCTCAAGCTAGGCCCCGAGGGTGGGTCTCTGGAAGAGCTCCCAGCAGCTGTCACATCTTCGGGAAGCCCCTGTGAATGGACCACCCACAACCTCTCTCCAGCTGGGAGCCATCGGGACCAAGCCCAGTGCCCTGGACCTGGCCCTCCTTGCTGACAAGTCAGGTGCCCAGCTCCCTCTCACCCTCCTGCCCTGCTCAGCAGGCCCGTCTGCCTGGAACACCAGCCCACCCACATGCTACATGGACCCTCAAGGGTGTGAGGCATCCTCACACTGTCTCAATTGGAAGCTCCTCCTCCATTATTCAGTCTTCTTCTGCCCTGTGTCCCCTTGTCCATGTCCCTGACATCCCAGAGAATAGCCCCCACTCCCACCCCCAGACAGGTACAAATTAGGTTTAAATGAAATTGCATCTGTGAAGTGCTGCCAGATGGGGGGAAAAGTCTAAGGGGCATTGACTGGGGGCTGTGGAAGGTAACCTGCCCAAGGTGAGGCCCAGGGCTGTTGGGGATGTGAGCAAGGTGTAACCTCAGATCTCCTGGTCCCCGCCTGCCCTGCTACTCCCGAAGCCAGATCAACCCTGGTCTTCTTCTAAGTAGCCTCACCCAGTGACACACTCCTAGGCTCACCCTTAGCAGGCCCTTCAGCACAGCCACCCAATCACCCATCAGGTTCCACCAAATTCTTGTCGCCCTGCTGCCCAGCTCTCTCCAGCAGAGCATTTAACTACTTGCCTGATTCACACAGATAACATCGGCCACCATTTAGCAAGTGCTCACTCTGTGACAGGCTTTGGGTTAATCCCATGTGGATTACTTTACTCAATTTAATCCCCAAAACACCCTGAAACATAGCTATTAGTCTCTTCCTTTTTCAGGTAGGGAAACTGAGGCTCATAGGGTTAAGTGCCTGCTTGGCTTATAAGCCAATGAGCGGTGGGCCAGGGCCTCTGGATTCCAATCATTTGGCTCCTCCCTGCAAGCCAGGCCACCCTGGCCAGCACATCAGCACCTGGTTCAGAGCACGTGCAGGGCACACACAAAGCAGAATGCCACGAGTCCACTTTCCCAGTCACACATTCCCATAAAAGGGCCTGAAATCACAAGGAAGCTCCGTGGCTTGGAAACACAGAGCTGAAGGGAAAAAAACCCAAATCTGGTTCTTTGGGTGGGAGGGGGTCAGTGGATAGCTGAGTGACAGGATAAAACTGGGACTCTCCACAAGGGGGCATTCGAGAACTTTTTTTGCTCTTTCTGCATTGAGGAAAAATTTGCCCTTTTTAAACACTGTCCCCTAAAATGGAACCAGAACTTATGAATCACAATTTATGCATCTGGTTTCATGTACTTTTGACAGATCCGTCGAATTTCCAACGGTTACATTTCCCACTTGACCTTGACGTCTTAGGATGTGATGTTGGAGTGATTCTGGGGGTTGCCTTACACCCCCAAAGTTATGTGGGGTGGCTGCAGCAGGAGCTTGAAGTCAGACCTGGGCTGGAGCCCTGCCTACACCTCTCACTAGCTAGTGGGCTAACCCATCAGTGAATATATTTCCCTATCAGTAAAATGGGGATTGTCCTACCGTCCTCACACCTGTGAGGATTAAATAGGATGACGATAGTAAAACCACCTGACCCTTAACTGGTAGCGATCAGCATGCTTCCTGCGTGTCAGGGGCTCCCTGCAAGTGGGGGACTTGGGAGAGGGGCTGTGAGTGCTGGCAGGGTTGAGAGAGCGTCTTCTGGGTAGGAAGGCTAACTTCTGCCCTGGGACACAGATCTGTTCTTTTTTGTTGTTGTTGTTTTTGTGAGGAAGAT